TCTTCATGGACGGGCGATACCCTGTAGATGGTCGGCCGGGTCTCTCTCCACGCCCGCTCAGGCCCGGCGCCACCCCTTCTCGGTCGGACATGAGTGATCGATCCAGCTGACGGCCTCATTTGCCGTATTAGTCCCCGGCGCATGCCGCCGCCGCCGCGACAACAGCCTCTGGTGACGAATACGAGGTGACGATCAGCGAAGCAGTGAGCTGTGGCTTCGAGTTGTTGTCACAGACACTTTTTTCTCTGTACCTTGCACCCTCAGGTTGCCACCTCTTCCCCAACATAAGGAAATTGCTTAGCAGTGGCAACTTCGCTGACACCAAGGAGACAAAAGCAGCAGTCTTGGACGTGCCAGATGCGTCCAAAACACACTTGGCTATGGAGACCCAGGGGCCTCTCGCGAAGCGCTGCGCGAAATATTTTTGTCTTAACGCTGGTTATTTGACTAAATGAACATTTTTTGTCTAATAAGTCGACATCGTATATCTCTGCTCCTTCATGGTCGGGCCGAGAATTTTTTGAACGCCCCTCGTACGTCAGCAGCGGGCAGTTGCGGTGACGCCACTTCCCTCCGCTGATGACTGCCGAGTGGTCCGCCGGCGAGCCGCCAACATCGGAACATTCGGAGAGGAGACCGGGCGCAGCCGCTCGGCTGATCGCTGGAGCGGGTCGCTACGGATGCAGTCGGCGCCACCGCCGTCAGCATGCCAAAGGCGCTGATTGTAGTTAGGTGACAACAGATTGGGGCCGTCTGATTGGGTGGGAGGGGATGACGCACTGCTGGGAAGAGGGAGAAGAAACGTCTGTGGTGGATGCGCTCCTGACGCTTAGAATTTCTCTCATCGTCATCGGAGGGATCGGCATGTTTTCAAACATTTCAACCGATAAAAAACGTCATGTATGTATAGCAATTTTGAGGGTTGGGAATAGTAAGAACAAGATGACCCGGTAGCTCCAGTGATTGCACCGATCTAGAACAGTATCGATCGTCCTTGTGACCGAGTTTGACAGCCTCGCGATCCCTTCCCCTGTCGCCGCGATGACGCCATATCCGAGTTGTATCCGTTCTATCGTCGTGGGGACTGGCGCTGAGGAGTGGGGAGGGTGGCTGACCCTGGCTTCTGTCCGCGCTGGGGGGGGGGGGGACGGGACGGAGACAGTGAGGCGTGTCGGTCCGGCGGGGCTTCCCCGTCCCACCCGGCACCAGCGCTGCAGCTGCCGCCCGGCCAGCCAACCGAGCTTGCCCAGCTTCTTCAGGAGGCTCCCGGTCTCGAAGGTCACTTGCCTTACAAGCGCGACTGCTCTACGCAGACTGTTTGTCCGTCATTACCGATCAATTATCAAATCATACGCCGAGAGCTGGACATTTTTTTATGTGCTGCTAAAGGCCGCCCCACACTGGACCTCGCATGCGGGTTGCGGGTTTTTGGGTTTTCGGGTTTCTTCAAAAACAAATCATACAATCTAAGCTGAGTGACCCACGCTACCATGTAGCAAGCGAGTCTGCATATTTTTAGCTTGCAAACCACCTTGCATCGCATTCCAAAAGTTGATTTTGAGTCAACTTTCGATTTTCCTCGCTGCGAGGTCTGCGAGTTCTGCGAGGTTTGCGGGTTTCTCGTTGGAGTCGGATTTTGGTTCATTGCGCTGGTATTGCGACTATATGTAAGTTTCTGAAGGTGTACCAGCTTCACTACATTCCTATAGTTACCATAAGGGAGCGGTCTAATCACTCTATGAATTAGTATTATGCCCGCAAACTCAAAACCCGCAAACTCGCAACCCGCATGCGAGTTCCAGTGTGGGGCGGCCTTAACTGGTGTTCATTACCCATTTTTTATATTTAATAGAAAATGCTTATCGTTGTATCGTTTTGGCATGTATACTTTCGCCTTTCGGCTTTCCATCATCCTGAAATTAAGCTTACGTGAGCCAGCCATTGCCTATGATTCATTATGGCTTGATACTGATATCCATGTGCTAAGGTTACCAGGATCCTAATGTTACCTCAAAGTGTTTTTTACGGAACAAGTGTTTAAGTTAAAGCTACTCAGCAGTCAGCTTGCCAAGCCCATGACGCAAGTCATGCATTTGCATTATGCAAGTGACGCAATTACATTTGTGACTTTTGTTCCGTGAGCCGTCGGGTGCGTCATTCTTATGCAGCCTACATGCTCCTGGGAAGATACTTTCTGACCTTTCCAGATGGCTCGTCTCGTGCATTTAGTTTTATGAGTGAAACGGCGAGGGCTCGCCTGGCCGGCACGGTGCTCAGCCGGCTGGTTCGGTTACTACAGCGGGTCAGTTTTGTTAGTCCAGTGGTTAGTTAGGCTAGTCCAACGGGCTAGTTGGCTATAGTCGGTTAGTCCAGTGGTAAGTCGGTTAGTTCATCGGGCTAGTAGGTACGGTCAGTCCATCGGGTTGGGTCGGTTAGTTCATGGGGATAGTTCGGTTAGTCCAATGGGCTAGTTTAGCGGGCTAGCTGCTAGTTCGGTTATCCAATGGGCTAGTTCATTTATTCGAGGGTGTTACCTGGACCAGTATAGTCATGGGCCAGTTCGGCGCTGAGGGACGGATGAACGGAAGCGCTTTATATGGTCATCAAATACCATATTTTTTATGTTTTTGACTCGTTCGCTCCTCTCTGCATCGTAACCTGAAAGAATTATTGGGATATATTGTCAAATGTGTCCATATGTACTCCAGGTAACACTTTCAGGGTAAACGGACAGGGGTTTATATTCCATTCCATTTTGTTGATACGCCTGTCTCAAGGTTATTGTAGGTCACTGCAGGTCGGCTGCCGTGCGGCAAAGGCACTCTGTAATTGAAAACTTTGTCCTCGCCGGACGGCGAGCCATTACTTCGGGAACTTTCAGTGACGACTTGGCGGCCCACGCGCACTGTCGGTTAGTGCTGCCGTACTGCCGGGGTCTCCATGTTTTACCAGATATCTGTCCTTCCATCTGAACTGGGAATACCCACCGACCCGGGGATTAAACCAACTTGATGAATATATTGCCGCTGTTGACGATTTGTTGATGTAATGAATGGAATATGAATGCAATATGCCTTCTGAATGCAAAATGATGTATGTTCTCTGGCCCTGTTTCCATTGGCACTTGTAATCCGCATCAGGATTACCCAATTTAGTCCGCCCTAGGCATGCAAGTATGTGATAAATAATTGATTGATTGTAACCAAAGCTTATCGTATTTAAATATTTCTTAGAAAAAGAGCGTAGAAAATCAGCACGATGACTGACGAGTCGCAGGGTTGCAAAGAGCTATGGAAATCACGTCCACGTGTTTATCTGTCCGTGCTTAGTACTGTCTTACTCCTGATTATTCTATTGTCTTTTTGCTGCTTAGTTGTAGCAGTACTGCTATGCCAATAATGGCGCCAGTTGTGCCTGCCTCTTGCCCCACAGTCCAATTCTTTCTTGTGACGTAGTTATAAGTTCCACAATATGTGCGATAAGTTTTATGCTATGCAATATTATAAAAGGGTGTCTAGAGTGCCGCTCCTATATTGACTGGCTCTACGGCGGGTCTTGCTCGGAAAATAACCGCATTTCCATTGTGTTATTTCATATCATATCTTTTTTACAATAAGATCATCCATTTATGTGACAGTTTCATTCGTTTCTTATATCTTTCTATGATTTAGGCCGACTGGCGTTGGGAGCGTGATACACATATGTAATGCATGCCTGCTGGCACGATTTGGCCGGCCCGCCCGGGTTGCACGGGGCCGGCGAGCTGGGTGGTAGCCGGGTCCACCGGTCCACCGAGATGTTTGTATAACTGGTGACGGCGGCGGCGGGTCGCCAACCAGGCCAGAGAGTAGAGACATCGGCGTGGCCCCGAGCGGCGGGCGCTGAGCAGTGACCAGTCCTGGCTGGCGGGCAGGTCGGGCCGGGTCAGACCTCTGATCCGTCCCGGTTCTCCTGTCGAGGCTAGTGCAGACGCAGATCATATTTATTTCCGCCGCCGACGGCACGCCGGGTCGATCAGAGTGCGTCCTCCCAGACGGCAACAGCCCGCTTCCCTCCCCGGCGGCGTCTCCTCAGACGGAGACCGGCCCGCGCACTGAGCACGCCGCTCTGCGTCCGGCGCGAGCGACGTTCATAGAATAATATCGGACATCGGGGACGCCGGCGATCAGCTTGTATGTACGGGCCTGACCTTGGCGCTGTCTCCGTGCTGACCGCGCGGGAGACTCGAGATGCGCCGCGAGCTCGGGCGGAGACTAGTGCCGAGTTACCCGGGCTCTGTGGGGCCTCTCGTGTCACTCACGGTCGGCTTGTGGTGCCCCGGGCCGTGACCCGAGTCGAGCTGCTGACCTCAGCGGATGGTATGATGGTGGTGACTCGCCGTCGACCCGCGAAGGTCACCCTGTGGCATGATCAGGGCTTCCGCTCCGCAGCTCGGCATGTAGTGGGCACGGCTTCTATTTTTGGATCGGAAGAGCATTTCTTACCCAAGGAAATAGTGACTATCGAGGAAGAGGCTAACGGTGTCGTATGACCTAGCTGTAATGATACCAGGAAGGGTGGTCTATTGATTCATGCGCTCGTCACAATGAACGGTTTATAGCCTTTGCATACAAGCAGCTTTGTAAAATAATGTTATTTTGTCACTTTTCAATGGAATCCCTAAATTATGTCCATGTTGATGTTCCTTTCATGAGCCAGGACTCTGTTGTGCTATATTTGTCCTTGTCCTTGATCTGTACTTTTCCACTTCGGCGAGCCATCATTGGGTTGTCCTGACGATGCGTGACCCCTCTCCATCCTCTCCCCCCAGCGTTATTCGCTCGCCTGCTGACCTGAGCGCTCCCTTTGGATCTCGTCGTGCTCACAGCATCGCGCCGTCGTCACCGTCGGTGGGTCGGCGTGCTCTGCCGCCCCCGCCCCCGCCCGCGGCGGACGGCGGACGGGGGGGGGGGGGGCGTCGCGCGCAGCCGGCCCCGGCGCCGTCAGTCGGCGTCGGACGGCCGCGGCGGTGGCGTGCGGTGTGTTACGGTGGTGAGACGTGCCACCTCAGTCCGCGGTGTCGGAGCGGGCGGCTGCCGAGTGGAGTCGCGTCTCGGTGGGATCAGATCCGGCCCGGGTCGGTGTGCCGGTGCGGCCGGTTTGTGGCCGTCGCGCTCGTCTGACCGGCCTCGGCCGCCGCTCGGAGGCAGCCGGCGCCGCGCAGTGGGGCAGGACAGTGTGACCGGCGCGGCGACCTTCGGCCCAGCGCCAGCGACCGCCGCCACATACAGAACATCGGTGAGTGGCTGACCGGGACGCGTCGGCGTACCCCGCTGACGTGGCGCCTCTGGGGGTGGGGCCGGCCGTGCTGCCCGGCCGCACATGGCCCGCACGCCCTCCGGGACATGTGCCCTAGCCTCACGGCCTTCGTAGCATCATGCCGGCGGGTCGTGCTCGAAAAAGTTGTGTGATTACACTATAGATCCGCTGACGCGGCGTATGGCGGCCTCTTACGGACTCCTCTCGACGCTGAGCTATGTTTATCCTTGATCTTGTGACGCTCGTGCTCTCTGTAGGTGTTTATGATCACATGATCGCTCAGGGCGCGTGGGGTTTGGGCCAGCTGGCTCGCATCTGAGACCCGGGGATGCCTGGGTGAAGTCTGAGCATACTCTCCTTTTTATTATCATATATATTTTTGCGCTCGGCCGAGTCGTGGCCATGTTCAGGAGTGCGGCCATGCCTGTCGAGGACCATTTGTCACGGAGCTCCGACCGACCCTGGACTGTCACACATGCCCACGTCCCCAGTGTATCGGCGCTGAGGTAGCGGCACTTTTGCTGGGTGCATGGCGCTGCACCTGGGTCCGTGACTCGGTGACAAGCGGCAGTCCTGGACACTGGACAGAACCTGGCAACCAGTAACCATTTGACCAGTAGCCGCCTCGCCTGGTGGCCAGCCCTCTTGGCACCGAGCTCTCCTGGCAGCCATTCCTCCTGGTAACCCGCTCTGGTAACCATCTCGTCCTGGTAACCGCCCCCGTTTGGCGAGGCTCCTTGTTATGCCAGCGGTGACGCAACGATTACCTGTTCACCGTGAACGGACCGGGCGGTCCGTCCTGGGACAAGAATTTCGGGCCGGACAGCACCGACCTCGAGCGGGGCCGATATCATCATCTGTTCTATTGTTACCGACCGCGAGTGGGCCTCGCTGCGACAGGGACTATGGACAGACGAAGAGAGTGGCTCACTGCGCTGGACTAGGGCAAAAGGGATAGTGGGTCTTAGGGCGACACATATACTGACTCACGGCGACGAGAGACAGTTTCATGGCCACGGCGACAGAGACTAACGATGAACAGTCGGGGCAGCGGACCACGCGGCGACAGAGAAACAGGCTCACTGCACGTTGGAGAGACTGGCTCGCTGTTGTGGACAGGCTGGTTCACTGCTCACTGCAGTGGACCGTCTAGCTCAGGTGAACAAACTCTCTCGCTGCGGTGGACAAGTTTGTCAGACTGGCTCGCTGCAGTGGACAGACTGGCTCAGGTGGATGTTCTGGCTCGCTGCGATGGACAGACTGGACACCGGACAGACTGGCTCGCTGTGGTGGACAGACTGGCCCAGGTGCAGAGACTGGCTCGCTGTGGTGGGAGATTGGACAGACTGGCGCTGTGCAGTGTGCAGTGGACAGACTGCCTCAGGTGGACAGACGGAACGATTTCGTTCTGTCGTAAGCAGCTAATCCGAAATGTTGGCTCCGACTGAACAGAGTGCTGCCTTAGCATGGTCGGAAGTGTTGCCCAGGAACGGAAGAAAATATTGGCTCAGTACTGGGCTGTAGTGTTGGCAGTTTGCGCACCTTGGTAAACGTTATGCGCTCCGTACAAATGGGCTGTGTGGCTCAATAGCGGTCAATAGTGTTGGCTCCGCACTGGCGGGTGAAGTCGGCTAAGTACTTCAATAGTGTCAATAGTAAAAAATAGTGTTGGGAGTAGCTTTCGTCAGTAGTGTCGGGCGGCGGCCCACAGGACAGGCTCGGCCAGTCCATCCCGGGGGCGGTGGGCGCCGAAACAGAAGGTCGGCGCCTGTAGCTAGAGGGGGGAGGGCAGTGATGTACGGTGGCCGGTGGCCGCAGGACGGACCTTGGCCGCCAGCCCGACCGGCCGGGCCAGGCGCCAGTTCCCATGGCCGGCTGGGCGCTCTCTCAGGAGTCCGGCCGGCCCTCCGTGCTGCTGACGCACCTGGCCAGGAGCACAGCTCCGGTGGGCGGTCCGCAGCGACAGACAGGGCGGCCGTGAGCTCTGCTGTCCAGCTGTGCCGTCTGTCCTCCATCCTCTCTCCTATCCTCGTCTGTTCCTCGCTCGAACCTTGCCTATCCTGATCCTCCGTTTGTGCGCTTGTCTTTCTGTCTTCCGTCCATCCCCTATCCTGTTCTCCGCCATGTCCGTCCGTCCCCCATCCTGTCGGCCTGTCTTCGTCCGTCCTCGGCCTGTTGGCCTGTCCTCGCCCGTACTTGCCAGTGCCCAGTATGGCCACCTGTGGTGGGTATGTGTGGTCAAACCGGCAGACTTCTCGGTCTGCCGGCCTGTCCTCGTCCACACTGTCCACCTAAGTCCTGTCCTGTACTGTCTGCACTGTAAGTACTGTCCTGTCCCAAGTCCTCCGTCTTCGCCCACACTGATCATCACCCCGCCCTGTCCTGTCCTCGGTCTGTCGGCCTGTCGTCAGCACGCGCGGTCGGTCGTCGCCGCTCCGCTATCGACCATCGTCGGGCGGACGCAGCGCCGGCCACGGCCCGAGTAATGCGATAATAGCTGCCGGCAGCGAGAGCGGGCCTCCTGATTTGCTCCTCCTGCTCGTGCGGCCAGGTCAGGTGTCTCGGCTGATCGCTGCAGCTCGCTTTGGACGTAGGTGGGGGTAGGCAGAGAAGCGCTCCCTTCCGTTGTATTCCGTCTGTTCTGCCCGTGCGTCCGTTCGCGGCTGACTGCTCTACGGCTTCCCATCGGCCGACCAATGCACTACAGCAGCCAGTCCTAGCAGAAAAGTGGCCGGTTGGCACCAGAGCCTGGGGAACACGCGGTAGAGCGTGCTGACAATAATGTGAAAAGGCGTGGCTGTTATGGGTGAGCTGAGGCTGAAGAGCTAGTTACAACTAACTAGTTATCACTAAGTACCCTCGTCGAACTGATGAAAATTGAATAGAATAAATGCTTAATGCTTATTTGATTTCATCATTTCATTCGCCGTCTGTGAGCATCAGCATGATGACAACTAAGACTCTCGCCATGAAAACCCATATGAGCTGTTAGCTTTGGTTATCATCCCGGCAGATTATAGAGTTCACTGCTGCGCTTATGTAAGTTATATAAGTTATGTAAGTAATCCTTATGACATTGAAGTGCAGCTGATCCTTGGAGCTAGCAGTTAATGTCTAATCCCTTCTCTGACGGAATTCCTCTCGTTTTGGAGATTGTTATCTTCTATGAGCCGCCGTGAATGATCGCTATGCGGACAGTGGGTTTGGGGTGACTGGATGTGTCGGTATATATTATCTCGTGATACAGTTACTCGACCTTTTGTAAGTGTTTCTGCATCGTTGATACATTTGCAGTATATTCCACCTACAGGCTCTATTGGAACGACATTGTTCTTTCTGAGATATCCAGTGTTCATTTACTTTTGACCGTCTCATTTATCTTGCTATCCATCTAGCCGAATCGCCACCTTATTATCTGTCGGGTGCATTTCCTGTTCCAGTACCGTGGCTCCTCAGCTACATATCTCCGTGCTTCGTCGCGGCTCACATCTCCTTTCCTACTTGTCTCGCCGCGACCCCTCCCTGCCTTCTCTGCTTCTTTTCCTCATCGTTACTCCTCTCTGTCTTCCCTTCCTCCCACCTCCCTGCCATACATGCCTCCCTTGTCCACTCCTCCATGCGACTCTGCCTCAGCGCGACACCTCCCTTCGTTTCTTTCCCTGCCTCATGGTGGCTACCTTCTTTTCTGCCTTTTTTCATCCCTGCCTCGTCGCGGTTCCTCCCTGCCTACCTGCCTCCCTTTCTTCCTGCCTCGCTGCCTCCCTATTTGCCGTTATCCCTGCCTCCTTTTCTCCCTGCCTACCTGTCTCCCGTTCTCCCTGTCTTCCTGTCTCATCTTACCGCCTCCCTTACTCCCTGCCTACCTGCCTCCCGCTCTCCCTGCCTCCCTCCCACCTCCCTGCCTCCCTGTCCAACACCTACGCGTTCGACCGGCGGCCGCCGCCGTTCGTGCGCCCTGCGCGATCGATGCGTTCTGGAATGCCGCGCTGGAGCTCGCCCGCGCCGCTCGACCGGGTCGAGTGGGGCTCTCCGAGACGGGTGCACGGGACCATTGCGGGTAGAGCGATGACAGGCGAGAGGAACTATGGCGTGATCGTTTGGTATGACGTCTGTGTGTCAGTCACGGCGTGTTAGGTGGTGATGTGGGTCACCGGCGTGCACTGTTGCATTGCAGCGGCTGTGTCGTGTGTATAGGGGATAATGATAGGCAGCCGTAGGGCAGGGACGGGTGCGCTGTATGTGCACGCCGCACGCCCGGCCGGCCGGCCGGCGCTGAGCGCTCGGAGGACGCTGCGCCGGCCGGCGCCTAGCGAAGGTCGCCGGTCGGCCGCCCGGCGACTCGGTGCGACCGACCTTCTCGGTTCCGCTGGCGTCGCTCCTGCGCCGATTGCGTAATACGCCGGGGGGGGGGGGGGGCGCCGCGGACGTCAGACCAGCCGGGACTGAGCTGGCGGTTATGTAATGGCCGGCAGGCCGCACCGACGAGCTGCGCGCCGACGGGATGCGCGAGCTGTACTGAGCTGCGAGCTGTGGGCTGTGAGCCCCCGGCACGCGTCCGCTCACAGGTGTGCGGCCGATGGCAGTATGGGTGCTGAGGGAGGGGAAAATGAGGGGCGCCCAATGAGGGGGAAAGGGGCTCGGCGAGCGAATTAGATCGGTCCCCTCTTACAGGTTAACTGCTTTCGTAAATGGTGATCGGAAATCAATAAATCGTTGACAAGCTCAATTTAATTCCATCTTCATTCTAATTCGGTTGAATTTCGGTCAGACAACAGCTTTATATACCTACCCACGTTTTACAATGGTGCATAGGTTCTGGCTGTCGATTGCTTCTGGACTGCGACCATTGCTTTTGTGCTCGATGCATACAAGGTGACCGCAAAGCGGTCTATTTATGCTTGTTTTCGGATATTGGTACTGAATGGATGGTCAGGGCATGTTTGTATTGATTTGGACGTCAGTTCCCCTACTATCAGACT